GTAACAGCGGTTACTACCGCTAGCGTTGCTAGCAACACAGCGCCAGGCAACAAGGGTGCTTATTATGTGGCCGTTTTCTGTATTGTCCGATCGCGGCTACATGAGCAGCGAAGTCTATTCACAGTCAGTCCTCGAGCTACCTCCGAGTTAGTTCCGAGTTAGCCAGCAACCAGTCAGTTGAATTGTGGCATTTGGAGTGTACTATTTGTGATACTGCAGATAGCAGTAATTGTAAAACTGTCAATTGTGTGATTGTAAGTGCGAATGTGAAATAAAATTCGCTATACCAAATACGGCGTGAATTTATTTGTCGCGTTATACGCCCGACACGCGACAACTGGTGTCAGAAGTGGGATACGAACTTACACACGTGACCAACGAGATTCGATCTCAAGACACGTGACAATTTGGTGTCAGAATTTTTACGAACTTAAACACGCCTGGCAAATAATTGGATTATTGTGCATCGAGTATTTGACCGCTACAAAATGGAGAAGCAAGGTCTTCAACTAATAATCGAAATGCTGGCGAAGGCAGAGGCCGATAGAAAGGAAGAAAGAAAGGCGGAGAAGGAAGAAATGCTGAAAGAGATTAGGGCAATCCACGCAAAAGCAGATGCCGACCGCGTGCACATGCAAGAAATGTTCCGCACCCATCAAGAAAAGACGGAAGCCAACCATAAGGATTTCCTGGCGAAATTAGAATCCAATCAAGAAAAAGCAAATAGCATGCTGACGAAATTTAGACGCCGACTTCAATGCCTGGCAGGAAGAGGCGTTGGCCTGCCCAGTGGACACAATACCTGCGACGGCACAACAAGAAGAGGTTCCCATAGTGATACCGGTCGGAGTGACAATGGCCTGCCAAGAAAGGGAGGCACGTCCAGAAGAAGAAGAGCCGACTTCAGCGAACAGGAAACCTGAGGCGGCAGAACTACGAGAGGTACCCGAACAAGACGCCGAAGTAATGCCGGTCGGAGAACCGAAGAATAAAAGGCGCAGGGACCATCATCGACGAAATATGAAGAATTCGACACGGGAAAGTTGTGGACCCCAGAATAAATTGGCCGTCAGCAGAAGGGTGTCCCGCTCTGCAAGAGGAACATCTTCAGGAAATCTTGGACCCGAGGAGATCATGCGTCCCGGATAAAGTTGGCTGCCATCTGCAGGAAGATATCCTGTCGCACGACAGTGGCACAACGTTGGAGAAATGACTTCAAGAAGGAAACTCCCCAGGGACCCTTCGGATGCTGGAGAAAGGATTTGGCACCAAGGTCTCGTACCAGCCAGCGGCTGGAAGACCAGGAGGAACAACGACGTCAGCGAGTGCAAACAATGCATCAAGAGCTGTTACGTCAACATAAGGAACCTCCGAAGAAAGAAATGATGAAGGATTGGACCTTGTGGAGGGGATGACCCCCTCCAAAACGGAAAAAGAGACTTCAAGCAGAGGAGGAACCGGTAGTGTAGAAGTACCGGCCTTCCAAGGAAGGATGAAAGCGATGGATGAATGGAACACAACTGGATCTTCTGGCGAGCTGAAAGGAAACCGCTCGAGACGAGCTTTGTCTCAAGAGGGGAGCAGATGTAACGGACAAAGAATAGTCGCTGCAAGAAGAGTAGCCGAAACAACAGGAGACACCGCAAGCACAGCTATGGGACGGAAAAGGAACGGGGATGCACCGCTAGGCTATTCGGGACAAACAGCCTTAAGGAGGGAGCAGTGTGACATGTTGCACAAAGGAGAACCCCCCCCACCAGCAGTGACGTGGCGGGTGAGTCAGCGCTCCCCTCCCCCTCCTCCGCACGGTAACGTAACGGTGACGCAACAGGGTTGCGAGAGACATCGGTAGTAACAGCGGTTACTACCGCTAGCGTTGCTAGCAACACAGCGCCAGGCAACAAGGGTGCTTATTATGTGGCCGTTTTCTGTATTGTCCGATCGCGGCTACATGAGCAGCGAAGTCTATTCACAGTCAGTCCTCGAGCTACCTCCGAGTTAGTTCCGAGTTAGCCAGCAACCAGTCAGTTGAATTGTGGCATTTGGAGTGTACTATTTGTGATACTGCAGATAGCAGTAATTGTAAAACTGTCAATTGTGTGATTGTAAGTGCGAATGTGAAATAAAATTCGCTATACCAAATACGGCGTGAAGTTATTTGTCGCGTTATACGCCTGACACGCGACAATATATATATAGTCATGTGTAGGATGGTTTTGCTGGGCCATATGCAGCCTTTCTTAGTATCATTTTTTAGCTCAGCCTTTATTGTTATTTCATTTCAGCAGCCTGTCCAGCCTTACAAATGCATAATTTTATTTAATATTGTAATTTGTTAAACAGTGACAGTGCAGCTTAACTTCTGTTGACTCAGAAGCATCCATACATGCTGATGGACTCAGGCACATGGCACACAAGGGGGTGTGCTCTCTCTGTCCCTCCCCCCTGTCGCCACTCTCACGCCTACTGATATAACATCTCACTGTATTGGGGCTTCAGACTTATTTCTCTTCCTGTTAGGATTTTTCATGTTATTTACTCTTCATTTTCCAGGGTAATTTGAATGAATTTCAACCCGTACATGGTGAGGATCGACGATATTCCTGTGATGAGTGTGGTGAATCATTCAGTCAGCAGGTAATCCTGAGAGCACATCGATGCATGCATAGTGGGGAGCAGCTGTTTTGTTGTGATGTATGTAAAAAGTCATTCAGTCAGCAGAGTCATCTGAAGACACATCAGCGTATACATAGTGGAGAGAAGCCATTTTGCTGTGATATATGTAAAAAGTCATTCAGTCAGCAGAGTCATCTGAAGACACATCAGCGTATACATAGTGGAGAGAAGCCATTTTGCTGTGATATATGTAAAAAGTCATTCAGTCAGCAGAGTCATCTGAAGACACATCAGCGTATACATAGTGGAGAGAAGCCATTTTGCTGTGATATATGTAAAAAGTCATTCAGTCAGCAGAGTCATCTGAAGACACATCAGCGTATACATAGTGGAGAGAAGCCATTTTGCTGTGATATATGTAAAAAGTCATTCAGTCAGCAGAGTCATCTGAAGACACATCAGCGTATACATAGTGGAGAGAAGCCATTTTGCTGTGATATATGTAAAAAGTCATTCAGTCAGCAGAGTCATCTGAAGACACATCAGCGTATACATAGTGGAGAGAAGCCATTTTGCTGTGATATATGTAAAAAGTCATTCAGTCAGCAGAGTCATCTGAAGACACATCAGCGTATACATAGTGGAGAGAAGCCATTTTGCTGTGATATATGTAACAAGTCATTCAGTCAACGGAGCCATCTGAAGACACATCTGCGCCTACATGTTGATGTGTGCAGTAAATCATAGAGCAGCAGAGATGGCTGTAGACTAAAGGAACAGTATATGACGTGTAGCATGCCACAGTTTTTCATGTTGTAAGTAAGACAGTTTTTCTGTGTGTGGAATGCTTAAGTTTTGTAGAATGTTACAATATATTGGAGTTGATTACTGTTGCTGACCTTTCGAACTGATGGGAAATGAACTGAGTCCCATGGTTCAAAACATCTGTGCAAATGAGTTCCATTTGATTCTGATTGCTGAATGTGCTCAGTTCTCTTTCTTGTTGAGTGGAAACAGACATGACATGACATGACATTCTCCTGCAATTATGTTGTTAATTCAGCACTGGAAGCTAATGATTAGTAGGGTGTATCACTGAAACGGATCGACAGCTTATAAACGTAATTCAGCAGCATCATATGTTTTTTTGCTGTACGTTATCTGTGCTCTTCTGCCATTACATGTGATTAAATTCGTTAATCAGTTAGTTACAGATTGGTATATCGCTTGGATTGAGTATATTGAGATAACTGTTATGGATTGGTCAGATAAATACAAACTATGCTATATTGGACATTGCAGATGAGATATCTGTTTGCAGGATGCATGGTATATTAATTATAAAGAGAAAGTTAAATAAAGGTGGGTTCATTCTACTTGCGGAGAAATGAAGTAGTACAGAGAATTTAATTAAAAAATCATGAAAGTCTTGCTTACATCTTTTTGTTGTGAATATCAGCAGAGAAACTGAGTAGTCTGTCATGAGATCAAAAAAGAAAGTGGTTTGGCACTGTGGCACCCCTTTTTGCTTTAGGTCTCCTTTGCCTTAGAGGGAAAGAGTCAACTGAAAATTGTGAAGTAAGTTTCAGTTTAATTATATAATTCTTTAATAAAATTAGGCAGTTATTAATATTATTAAGTGGAATTCTGAAGTTTCATGTAGTGTAATGACACAAGAGGAATAGCTTTTAACTGTACTTAAATTCACTGCAGTTCCTTCCATACCTGTTTTCTTCACTCCCTGAATGGGCTGCATCATAACCGAAGCTCATTCTTGGTCACTGAGCAAGTGATCTCTGATTACTGACACTTTTCTTGCCAAGGAACACTTGCTTCATTCTGCATAAGATGTACCATGCATTCATCCCTCAATAACTTTGCATCAGCAGATCTCTTCCTCGTGTGTCACCACACGTTGGCTGTCGCTCCATCACCAGAACTGATCCTGCTCCATGGTCCTGGAATGTGTTCCATTTTGTGACTCTTCACCATATAAATTAGTGGACAGCGCACGAATGGATATGCAAGTTGCAGTTGCCCCCAGAAAAGTGTGAAGGTAGGCTGATGCTGTGTATTCTGTATGCTTAAAGAAGGGAATATGGAGTGAAATCATCTGGCTCAGGATAGGGGCCAGTGTCTGGCTGTGAATGGTAATGAACCCTTGCATTCCATAACATGTTGGTAATTCACTGAGTAGCTGAGCAAACAGTAGCTTCTCTGGAAATGTGCAGCTGTGTGAAGTTGGTTAATATTTGGCATTAGAACTTCTAGATTGATTGTCTGGAACTGGAATTTGTTGTTGACCCCATCCTGCTAAAGCAACCCAGATGTGTCTCTGATGGTCAGTAAGCCTAGCCTCCCCCTGTTATATACAGGATGGGCCAGACTCAATTAGGCAGATTTTGATTAGATGCTATTTTTATTGATAAATGTTAACAATTGCAATGGTTACAAAAATGGAATTGCACACACGTAAGTCATTGATTTTCAAGATGCTGGTCAACCTGGGCACCACCTTAGTCAACACAGGCTTGCAGACGCAAAGCAACATTTTCACATGCCTTTCTACACATATTCACCAGAACTTTATTGAACTCCTGAACAATCGCCTCACGCAGATGTTTCACACTGTCAATGGGATTAGCGTACACCTTGTCTTTGAGGTAACCCCAAAGGAAAAAGTCTGGTGGGGTGATGTCGGGTGATCGGGCTGGCCACTCCACGGCCAATCCAGCATTGAGGAAAAACTTGATGCAAGAATGTCCGAACAATATTGGCGAAGTGTGATGGGGCCCCATCTTGCTGCCACCACAGTTCATCAAAGTTCTCTCTCCTCTGAAGTTCTGGGATGACACTTTCCCTCAGCAACTTTAGGTAGGTTTCCCCGGTGATGCAACCTTCAAGGAAGAACGGGCCAATCAGTCCTTCGTAGGTCACGCCGCCCCACACTATCACTCCCGGGGACTGGAAATCATATTCAGTGGTGGCATCGGGGTTCTCTGGCCGCCAAAACATGCAGTTGTGTCTGCTGACCGATCCTGATGTGTGAAATTTGGTCTCATCAGTCCAGACAATATTCTGGATAAGGTCAGGGTTCTCCTGAAACTTGGTCAGCATCAACTCGGCGAACTCAAGTCGCCTGTCGAAGTCGTCCTCATTAAGAACATGAATAAGCTGTGGATGGTATGGCGTCAGCTTCATGTCACTCAAAACTCTCCGCAAACTTGTCCTCAAAATGTCCAGTAGGGCCGACAAACGGTGGGTAGACTTCGATCTCTGAGGAGATGATGCCAGTTCCGCAGCAACATGTGCTTGTGTGTCAGCAGTTCGGACAGTTCTCGGCTGACCGGGATGCTCAGGATTCAAAGCACTGGCAGTTTCATCAAACTGCTTGTTTATTCGGACGATTGTGTCCCTGTGGACTGCTGGCGGTCCAAACTCTTCCAACATCCTGGGCTGGACTTCTGATACATGGTTAGTAACCGAGAAAAGGTGCACACATTTTACACGCTGCTCGATAGACAACTGTCTACCGGCCATGACGTTTCCTCGATGCGCACTAAGTAGGCAGAGTATTGACCTTGTTCACAGCATACCATATGATGCTGCCATCTATCGACAACAAAAGGTACTTACCCATTATCCCGTGTGTTGTTGGATTGGTTAGTTATTAATGATCAAAAACTGCCTAATTGAGTCTGGCCCACCCTGTACATTGGGGCAGTACAGTATGCTGTGTATATATACCTGAGGGCAGTGACTCACATCCAGCCAGTCAGTTTATCAAACCCTGTATTCCCACCAGACTGAAGCAAAGCTAGTCTTCTTCCAAGAAATGTATTTTTTCAGTATGTGTGTCCAGTTTAATTACTGGTACATAAGTAACTCCAGGCAGCTGAGTTAGAAATCATTAATGGAAGTTGTTATTTTTGAGACCTCGTATCCCACTAGTGCAGAAACTGTTTTAATGTATATAAATTTTACATCACATTGCGAGCACATGCTGTGCATAGCGAAACAGCCGCTTGGTATAGCTGACACAGCAGAGGGACTGACATGCTGAAGGCAATGCAGAGCCACGTGGAAAGGATGGATGAAGAGACAAATAACAGTACAGACCTGGGGAATAAGAAATGTGAACAAGAAAGAAGATGGGCAGAATAACAGTGAGACTCTGAACATGACATAGAAGCCTGTACCTTGACTGAACGAGAAGAAAAAAATGTTTCTGACTTATGCTTCATTCACCAACATTCAGAATTTAAACTTCGTATTGTATATCACTCAGAATCACTTGCTGGGTTTTTGGATTGTGTTCATTGTCTGGTGTTCACAAAACAACAAGAATGTACCATTTCAGGAACTGGGTCTGTTGAGGGAGGGAGGGGCACAACTACTCTGCTCGGTCCAATAGAAAGAGCTCTTCCTAGCAGGTCAATGGACAGTCCAGCAAGTCTAGAAAACTTTAGAATCTACAAGTGTGTGTGTGTGAGTGTGTGTGTTTTTTTTCTGGCGAGCGTGTGTTATTTAGGGTTTATTTTACAATGGTCTCAGTATCTTAGGCCAGTGGTTCCCAAACTTTTTCGGTTCACGGCGCCCTTAAGTGTATCAGGATTTTTCCACGGCGCCCAAAGTCAGAACATAGGCCTACCTAACAGTTGCAGTGTGCAGTTGGTGCAGTTAGGTTGGTTAAGTTAAAAAAATAAATGAATCACGTATTTCAAATTCACAAACAATTTATGTAAAAAGTATTAAATAAGTACTCATTTTGAACAATCATATCATTGAATAAATAAATCATAATTAGTGAGATGGATGAGCCTGTTGTTCACTGCACAGCTTCTCAAATCTTGGGATCAAACTGGACACAGCCACCCTCATTTCCTGTTCCACGTTGATTTTCGCACGATACTTGCTTTTTATCACAGCGACCTCCTAAAACCCAGCTTCGCACAAAAATGACGTCGCAAATGGAATTAAGATTCCGTGAGCTTTACCACTTACTGATATCCAAACGTCAGTTAGTTCCATGCTGCCAAATTTTGTCTTCAGTGTATCGTCGCAAGACAGCTCAATAAGATTTTCTTCTTCTACAGAAGTAAATTCAGATGGAGCTTTGGCCCTGAATGGGTCTTGAATCCATGCGAACTTGTCGATATTATCTTCTTGAAAGTATTTTTCAAACCAGTTGATAAGCTGTGATAGGTGCTCTTCAAAAACAGATTTTACGTTGTGAGAGAAATTAACTTCATTGGAGATCACAAACTGCTGCAACAAGGGGAAGCAATCTTTGCCACCATCTTCATTTTTCTTCTCCATAGCTGTAATTGTTTTCTGAAAGCTGAAATCTTCTCGACCAATTTCAAAATGTGCATGTTACCTCCCTGCAGGGAGAGATATAATGCATTTAACTTTTCAAAGATATCACACAAGTATGCTAGTTTTACCAAAAAATCTGTTTCCACGAAGTGTTTGGCATATTCGTGTTTTTCCTCTTCAAGAAAAGTGTACATTTCCTGCCGTAATTCAAACGTATGGGACAATACATTGCCATGAGAGAATCATTGCGAGGGGCAGTAGTACAACAAACACGTGTGTTCGGCTCCCATATCCTCACACAATTTTTTGAAAAACCTTGCTTTCACTGGCCGAGTTTTTATAAAGTTTACCACATTCACCACACATTCCAAGACCACATTCAGTGGAGGATTCACATATTTTGATGCGAGTGCTTCTCTGTGAATGATGCAATGGGTCCACAGTGAATCTGGAGCTTTGCTTCGAATAAGCGCCTGCAATTCTCCATAACGGCCGGACATCGAGCGACCACCGTCAATACAGACACCAATGCACTTTGTCCACTCCATATTATTTTCAACCATAAATATGTCCAGGATCTCGAACAAGTCTTGAGCCTTTGTACTTGCAGTGATAATTTTACAAAAAAGAAGGTCTTCCACAATGTCATTACCATCTACGAACCGTACATAGCAAATCAAATGTGTCATCCTTATTACTGTCCGTGGCCTCATCCAGCTGCAACCCAAATTCCTTCCCTTTTATTTTTTCAATTAATTGACCATTGAGATCCTCCACCATGTGCTGGATTCTGCGACTGATAGTATTGTTAGACAAAGGCAGCTTTGAAAGCAGTTTCCCCGCAGACTCACCGATCATAATGTTCACCAAATCTACAGCAGTCGGTAGAATTAGCTGTCCTGCGATGGTATGGGGCTTTTTTTACAATTCGCGACTCCATATGCAACCTTGTATGATGCTAGCAAAGCATTGCTCGGTATTGACACCTGCTGAGAAAAAGTACCTTTTTGTTGTTTTAATTCTTTTAACTTTCTGGTAGAGAAGTCGCGAGGTTTACCTTCCATGTTTCGATGATTGGTTTCTAAATGGCGTTTTAGCTTACTTGGAAGCGTGCACTCTGGCGCCAAAACTTTCAAACACAGTACACACTGCGGTCTCTCTTCATCGTTGACATCTGTCGATGTAAAGCCAAAATTCAAATAACTATCGTCATATTTACGACATTTCCGCTTCGTCACGCCCCCGCCACTAGTTTGTGGTGCGTCCTCTTTATTTTCACTCCTACAATGCTTATTAATGTTCAATAAAAACTTGTACATTTTTAGGAAGATAAGAACAACAACTTTTAAAAGTTTACTTGATCACAACACCATTAGGTTGCAATATTATATTTAAGCACCCTGTTACACTCGCACAATATATATGAGACAAACTCCGTCTTAAGTGCAACAATTTAATTGTAGTTCTTTCTTCTTCCCTTCCTCCACACTACATGTTTCGGCCCTAAATGGCCATCATCAGGTGTGTATTCTTACGTAGCTGCTACACTGCCCGTAGTTTAAAATATAAAATCACCAGTCTTTCTAATTGTATGTATGTATAAAATCTTTGTTGATCTACACGCGTCAATTTGATTTCTTAAATTGGCACTTTTTTAAAACTTCTATTCAAATTAAAATGTCTATAAATTTACTGTTCTTTTTCTTTTTCCAAATTTCTAGAAATTAAAATTTTCTC